CTCCCTCACACACCTGTGGACACCCTTACACACCTGTGTGCTCCCTCACACATCTATGGCCTCCCTCACATATCTGTGGGCTCCCTCACGCACCTGTGGATGCCCTCACACACCTGTTGGTTCCCTCTTGGCCAACCATAAGCTCTGCAGTCACTCCTACTTCTTACTCCTTCTATAGCCAGAAAGCAGCAAGAAAAGCAAGCCCAACTCTGATAGCTCTACTCAGTCAGTCAGCAGCAATAGTCCACCCCACTTACCCTCCAAGAGTTTCTTGTATTTACAATCATTTTCTATGTTTCAGAGGGCTCAGAAGGTCACATATGGCATCCTCCTGGCCAAGGGTGTTCTCAGCTAAGAACTTCTAAGAGGCCTACTCAGATCTACAAATGCTGAGAACAGATTATAACAATTGTCTCTGCATCTGACTATGCTTCTAGAGGGAATCCAAGGCACTAAGGTACACTCACGTTGCATGTTGAAACAGCCACATCCAAATCTTCACACAGTACATGAAGGAGGAAGACACCAATACTATCGTACATCCTGACACTGGATTATTATATTTTTCCTTAATTGAGACCCGACCCTCTCTCAAACTATATTTAAGGCAGATTAAAAGACTGGCTGTTCATAAAACTTTGAATATACACAGCTTATGCTTTCCTCATTAAAAGCTTTCTATGTCGGGGGACTGGAGAGATGGCTCAGCAGTTAAGAGCACTGACTATCTTCCAGAGATCCTAAGTCCAATTCCCAGCAACCACATGCTGGCTCACAACCATCTGTAACGGGATCCGATGCCCTCTTCTGGTGTGTCTGAAGATAGCTACAGTGTACTCATATAAATAAATCAAAAGAAAATCGTCCAATGTCCTGGAAACACAAAGTCTGGCCCCTTATGATTTGTGGCCAAACCCTCAACTGTCTGTTAACCAACCAGAGCTGCTGAACCTGCACATGCTACTGATAAAAGTAGAGAGAAGACAAGGCTCAAGAAGATGGACAATATCATTCCAGAAAAACTAAAAGGCTCCGCAGGCATGGAGACAGGAGGATGTGGGTTAATGCAAAACATTAACATTTGGAAAGTGAGCAAATATATTCCTGAATTTTCAGTGTGTGAGTGAGATAGAAACCATCACACATAAAGTCACAAAGCCAAGTAGGACACAGTAGATGGAGAGGGTATGACTGTGGTTGCTGTCATATTCCCTAAAAGACTTCTTTGTGTGTATGCTCCGGGCATGTGCACTATCCAAACACCCTGCTTTAAGTGTGGATCCTGTCTCCTCCACTGCACTGCCTAAACAACATTCAATGCCATTTGGAATGTGTGACACGTTAATGAGAAATGCCAGCATTTCAGTTACATTTAGATTACCCATTTCCAGGACAAAACCTAGACGTGAGGCTGCTGCAGCTATGGCCAAGGTGGCCAGGAAGACAACAGTCTCTGGGGCATTTGCATGTTTGTCCAGCAAGCTCAGTCAGTTCTCATTTAACTGTTTTACCACAGTTATACAAAGAACCTGGTTAGGTAAAAGTGGGCAAAGGAGGTTGCCCCCCCCCCAATCCATAAGAAATCCCACAGGTTGTTCATACCAGGATGTCCCACAAGACCGGTGGATCATGTAGACAAAGATCCCAGGCCACATGTTCTCAAAAGGACCAATGTCAAAGTGGAATCTGAAATCAGAGCAGAGCAGTGGATCACTGGATGCAATTGGGATGGTTGTAGCAGCCGGCTCTAACCTCTTCTCCACCCCAACAGTGAGAAGACATGGTGGTCTGCCCCCACCCCTGTCTTCCCTGCAACACCTGACTGAGTGGAAGGGTCCCTGCAGGGATCTATTTAAAGGGCTGTCATGGGTGTCACCAATACTCGGGTGGCACATGGTCCAGGGGGACCTTAGCAGCAGCAGCAGCCTTGTGGCTAAACTGAAACAGGAACTCACTAAGGGTAATACCTAAAGTATTGTGCTAGTGAGTGTGTTCTCATTTAATAATGGAACTACTAATCCCCAACCAGAATGACCAGGTGTGGCAAAGGAGTGTACTTTCAATGATAAGGCAAATGCCAGCGTGGGGACAGGATCCCTGCTGTAAGTAAGCAGACAGTCACCACAAGCCCAACCTCTCCAGACGTCACTGTATTGCCCAAGCACTGGGAATGGGAGTAGAAAAATGGAACACGTTATTACTAATTTTTTAATATAACTTGGAAACTTAGATCTACATGTGACACTAAATGCCATTTTGAATATGGGATGGAGTAATAGTAAACGATAGTATTTAGGTTACTGATTTCAAATTTAGTTCAGATTTTGTTGCTGTTGTTTAAGACAGGGACTCCCTATGCACGCCTCAGCCTCTGAGCCCTGCCATCGCAGGCTTGAGCCGCCACACTGGCTTTCCATGTCAGATTTCGTTATTTGAGGGTACCAGAAGGAGCGACACATGAAACCACACGTGACGGTCCACGGTGACCGTGGTCCTCACGCCACAGTCCGTTTTGCTTTCGTTTCGAGAGAACGACATGAGAAGCTCACAGCTCGATCTCCCGGCAGATGCGTGCTGGCAGGTTGAAGTGCATGAGGCCTTGCCACTCCTCCGAGGTGCAGATGCTGTGGTAAGACAGCTTCTCCATGGTAACCCTGTAGATGCACTCGGAGTGGCGGATCCTGTGGTACATCTGTAAGGCACGAGGAACATGAACAGGGGACTGCTTAGAACAATATGGACCGTTCTTTGGTGTTGGGAGTTCAGATTCGGGATGGGAGCTATAGTTGAGGTTTGGGAGACGCGCTGCTGCTCACGGTCTAGACACACTGGAGCTGTGCAGAAAGAAAACCTTGCGGGGACCATGCTCAAATGTCTTACATATTCCTTAACAAGTATCTTCTTACCACACACCACCTCAGGGAGAAAAGTCACACTGTCTTTTCTATAATGCCTTATAGTATATTTTCACTTCAGTGATACAGGCGCTGAAAATAAAATGTGTATGTATTATCAGTAAATGAACGACTTAACAATTTCAAATAAAATAAGGTGTATCACACATCTGTATCTGTTAAAAACAGACACGTCAATAATTACATGTCACCCAGAACCAAACTAACTTCCTTGGAAGGAGTTTGTTTCTTTCCCTGATTTAATTGTACTTTTTTTTGTTGTTGTTATATTCTTAAGTGAGCTTGGGGTTTTGCTAGCATTAGATCAGTGAATCCAAATGTGTAACAGATTGGCATGATGACAATATTCTGTCCATGGGTAGATACATGAATAGATGGCTACACTAATGGATGACTAAGGGCTTAGCATGCAGCTAGTGGTGAGTGCTTGCTCGGGAGGTGCGGCACCTCATCCTGGGGGGGGGGGAGGCGCTGGGAGGGGAGCTTCTTGAAAATCAATGGACACATTTTACTGTCCTATTGAAGTAGTAAGACCATGTGTACTTGTACACATACAAAATGGTTTTACAAATAATATAAATTATATATATATGAGATAAAATATAAAAAGCAATGGAACCAGAGATAAGACCAGTGTCTACATGTGTGAATTAGTAATATGAGATTAATTTCAAGAGAAATTATAGGGAAAAATGAGCCCTTCACAAGAATTAATGTGTGTCATTAATGGTTTCTTCAATAGTTCACACGTTGCTCTAACACTAATACAGGGCAGCTTGCTTTCTATATACAAGATTACACGTACGTAGATATATAAAGCTCTATGTAATAATGTGAATGAAGGTGAGATGCATCAAGAATTAAGATGTCCTTTATGTCACCATTTGAAACTATTTGCCACCATTAGCAATCTTAGCTAGACCACAGCTTTGTAAACTGTGGGTTGTGACCCCACATGGGGGGGGCGGTGTAGCTGTAACACACAATAGGATGTTATAACACACGACAATGGGAAATTCATTACGATTCAAATGCATCACAAATCTGGGGTAGTTGTTAACAAGTTTGCCTGTAGAGCATCTCACACCTCTGATGCAGCCTTGGTCCCAAACACACAAAGAACATAGAAACACAATGGCTTAACTACAGGGGAAAGACAGCATTTGAATCATCTGTATGGAATGACCCTGTGGGCATAGTTTGGATTATGTTGTTGTGTAAATACTGCTAACCACTTTTATAAAAAAAAAATCATTCAATTATTTTTGGCTTGTGCTTAGTATATAGACTTATCAACAATGTCTGAAACGGTCTGAATGCTTTTCAGCTCTATGTTTATATAAAGCAGTGTCTTCCCATCCCCAGGCTACCACTGAGAGTAGCATCTGTGTGACATCATAGATACCTGACCCTAGCTAAACTCCCTCCTATCCTCAGCTCCCACTAGGACCTGGGTGAACCACCCACAGCATCTGTGTTAGATCATACATGCATGACCTCAGGATCCTCTCCCCAGGCTCAGACTGGCCTCAGCAGCAGCTGTCTGAGGCCACATACCCGCAACTCCAGATCCTTAGCCACCCTTAGGCTCCTGATATGATCAGAGGGAACTTGGATAGCCAAGGCACCTATCCAGTGAACCTATGAACTTCCTGCACATAAGACAGGTAGCCCAACTAGGGTCACCCAAGCTATTCCAACCACAAACCAGTTCTGACTGTTTCATGACTGAGCTCTGAGTATAACCTAATAGATCCTAAACCAGCTAATATATAGCAATACCAAACTTAGATCCAAATGTCTATTCAAATGGCTCAGCAATTCATGCCAAAGATGTAACTGACCAACTCTACATATACAAATCACAATGCAGAATATAACAGGAAAAACCATGGCAATATGTCATGCTACCAATCCTGTCATAACACCCCTTAATGAAAGCCACTTAGAATAACTTACAAGGAATCCAGAACAACTATACATTCAGAGAATCAATAAGAACATAATTGTCTAGATACATCTAAAGAGGGACAGAAATGAGTCCCCAAATGAATTCTAGGAGAATGCAAGCAAACAGTTGAGTGGAATACATAAGTCAATCAGGATGCAAAATTATTATCAATATATAGAGAGAAACATTGCTGAAATACAGAAATGAGATGAGGCTGGAAATGAAACATTCAATAAGGCAAATCAGAAGCTTAGCGGAAGCCTCATTGACTGCACGGCTTGTGTGCAGCACACTGTGAGTCCTGGAGACAAGGGGGAGGGGCTAGATCACTCAGTCATAGAAAATGGTAAGTAGAACACAAAACAGGGCACACAAGAGACAATTGGGACCCCATGGAAAGAGCAAACTTACGGATCATAGACATAGGTAAAGAAGAACACCATGCCAAAGGCACAGAAAACATTTTCAGTAAAATCACCAAAGAAAAATTCTCAAATCTAGAGAATAGGATGTCTATCCAGGTATGTGATACTCACGGAAGAGTAAGTGGACAGGGCCAGAAAAGACGCTGCCCAGAATGCATAACAGTCAAAACCAAACATACAGAAAAGAAAAGACCACAAAAGAGAGGGGCAACTGCATACAAAGGTGGGTCTATCAGGTGTCTATTTCAAAGCATTCTGTCCATGGGTGTGTGTGGCTTTCTTTGGAGCAAGTGTTTTCTCATTCATTGTTAGTAGCACTGGAAACCTCTGAAATGTTGCTCATTCCTTTAAATATTATCTTCTAAATGTCAAAATATTGACTCATTTGTCAGGAGAGAGGGCAGCAGATTTGAAGCATGTCTTTCTGTGGAAGGAAATGAGTAAATAGTGTAAATGATCCAGGTGCTGTCCACAAACCGCAAGCCCACAGGCAGCAGGGATGAGGACACATGTGAAAGCTGCCTCACTAACAGCCTGAAGAGGAGCTTGCAAACACTGACTGTTGTGCACAGCCGCTGCCTCCTCCTAAATGTAGAAGGCCACCTGTCATGGGACATTTGCCACCCTGGACAGGACAGGACAGGACTGTGTGATGTGTGAGCCTTATTAGAGCGTCTCCACAATGAAGAGCACAGTGTGATGCTCCATCAACACTGTTCACTTGAAACTCAAGCAGACACTTCCCTTATATCCTCCCGAGCCTCCATGGCTGCCTCCTGGCTTTCTGTCCTAGAGATGATCCCACAGGCTCTGGCATGAAGGCCAACTGTCCCTGGGATTCTCAACATTCAGCGTAGTTCAGCATGGCCTATAGCCCAGCCTGATTCTATGATGAAGGTGGAAATAAAGTTAGCTGCACTCAGTCTAAAAGTCACAATGTAGTAGTTACCAATAATGTTGGTCCTTTACAGGTGACATCATCCAGTCCTTGCATGTGACATCATCCAATCCTCACACGTGACATCATCCAATCCCCAAACTCCTATTTCTGTCACTGTCTTTTATAAGATAGTAGTCAACAATCCAGTTGGAGGTTTTTGTCATCTTTTTTCATTTATAAAACTATAATGCAAATATATTAAAGCATATCATTCTGTTTAAATTTTTATTCCTGCATTTTTCATCATTTGATGCTGTGCTTACTCTAAAATTAATTGCTACATAAATTAGCTTAATTTCATACAAAAAATAAATTAGTTTTGGACATGTTTGACATTTCTCACTTGGCAAATAACCTTCAATATGAGTGTTAGAAAATAATACAGTGTGGGATCTCACTGCTGACTAAGGAAGGCAGAGAATTATAGCTTACGCTCTTTATCAGTTATCCACATACAATAAATGAGAGTTCATCTTGGACTCTGTGATAGCAAGAGGGACTTCTAGAAGAAGTGGGTGCTATTGGTCTGGCACTGAAGACTGCTCAGATGACTGATCACTCTTGAGTACTGGGTACTAGAACAAAGCTACAGGCCCTCAGAATCTCAGCGTGAAGACAACCTGGGACCATGAGGGTGGCCTCCCTCTACTGAAAAGTGAAAATACACCTTTTATACTTTATAACATGGAACCCAGCTTCTTGGCAGATAAAATACTTGGTTGGGGGTTGTTCTGAAGTACCAATCTATATACCAAATCTGCCTGACAGTCCTGTGGCACTCACAGATGAGGTGACTAGAAAGTTCACAGCAGACACTGAGTCACTCCAGGGTGGAACAATTCTCAAGACTGTGGACTCTAGTCACCTCCCTCAGTTGGCTCTCTTTGCCAATAATAAACTGCAGGCATGAGGTAAGTTCTTTAACTCTCTTTACCCAGATCATCATCTGTGAACTGAGAACACGGTAGTGTGTATAAGGTTATAAGGGTGTGTATACAGCTGGTACCACTAGCTGGTGACAGTCTTTTAACATTTTGTATTGGTTTCAGATGACTCTCAGTCCAGCATGCCACTCCCCCTAGCTGCTGTCACCCTCTGGTAAGGATCAAGAAATGTCCGACCTGAGTAACAATGGTGCCCTGCACTACCATGCAGAAATCAACCTTGTCTCTCTGTGTCTAACACCTCCTGTGAGGAACCTGAGATTGCCAGCAGTGGGAAATACACAGGAGAAACCAGGAAACCCACCACTGCTAGGCATTGGCCCTGTCAAGTTACAGTTAACTTTCGGGAGGTCTGAGAGTCAGATCACATTTACTAATGTAAGGTAAGCATTTTCTCTACCACTGATTTAATTTGCATTTCAAATAACAAAAAAATGTTTTTAAGGTACATACTTTCAGTGTGTTATTTTTCAATAGCTGACATCATTATTAACACCAAATGAATCCTCTACACAAATCTGAAGACCAAACACACACTTGTACGGAATCAAAATTTGTGCTACCGCAAGCCGAAGGAACCCAGCACCGCCAGAGGTGGCTAATCCCTAAGTGAACAAGTGAGGTAGGAAAGGAGGCGCCCTGTGTGGAGCTGGAGATGTGAAACTGTCCTGGAGCCATCAGGGTGTGGAGACTGAGACTCCACAATAGGAGACTATAGTTCTGAAGCTTATGCTACAAACATACAGGGGAATTCCAAGTGGGCTCCAAACAGTAAGAGCCTGGAGTACTTGCAAGAGGGATGAAGCAGTCCTGGGTGTAGCACTCCAATGGGCAATTATCCAGGGTAAACTGGAGTCAGCAAATGAATGGGAAAATGAGAAATACAGGAAGTGAGCAGACAACCCAAGGGGGAAAGCGAGAGATCAAAAGACACCACCCCCCAAACCACAGAACCTGGTGTTCCTTTCTACAGCTCCTGACCAATCTGCTCCGCGGGCTTGATCACAGCACAAAGTCGAGGAATGGGGGAACTCCCTGTTCTTTGCCCCCAGCCTGGAGATCTGCAGATTCCTTCTTGAAGACAGGCCCCAGCACACCCTGTATGTAACACTAGAATGAGTTTCTCTCCTGCTCAAATTGAATGGGCCACGTGTAAGAATTTTCTCCAAACTCTTCACCCAGCCAAAGCATAAATAAAGTGGGAATTGGTGATTTCTCTCCTGGGAGCGTATGGTTTGTCTCTGAATGGGCTTCAGTGACCTATCTGCAATTTTTGTCTTCCGTCTTGATGAAAGGCAGTTTAGCCTGTGCAGACTGTTCAGCTGTCTGTTAAACAATAAATTTGGACTTCATAAAACTGGTGGCAGTGATAAAATACTGTATCGGAGCTGACTGGAGTCCGAAGCAATGGGGGCAGACTGCATCTGCTAAAGACTAAGACCTCAGATATCATCACCTACAGTCCTAATGTCAATCCCCAGGGAGACTGTCATTGCCACACGCCGGCTGAGGAATCTCAGGCTCAGAGGCATAGGCTAAAGACTTCTAGCTTTTCTAAATGGCCATTTTCCATTAAAAGTACTTTTAGTTATCAGTTAACTTGATAAATGTCATGTAAGTGATGCTGGCCAGACATGTCCTTTAATTCCATCAGTGGGATGCCATCTGATATGTCCAAAGGTAACCTAAATAAGATAAGGATATTCTGAGTGTTATTCTGGTCCTTGTGTCCTGCCTCTCTCAGGTACAGGCACCATAAACCAACAGGACCACAGAGGCTGACGACAGACTGTACACCCAGTTTAGAGGCAGCTGTGGGCCTAAAGGCTCTTTGTTCAAGGGCAAAACTATTCTGAGTTCCCAGGATCCCATGTGTCTTAACTTAGTGACAGCCAACAAGTGGAGACCATTTTATTTGCAGAAAGCTTTTTTCATATCTATGATCTCAGTAAACATGAAGAAGTGAAGCTGTCTAGTTCCCTGCTTGGGGCAGTCATGAAGTAAGATGCCTTTCCTACTGAAACAGTAAGGCTGACTTGCTTAGAAAGTACCAGGAGAGCGCAAGAGGGATACCCACACTAGGCCGTGGGCTTTCTCTTCTACAGCTGCACAGAGGTAGGCTCTGAGGAACACAGAGCGGGGCTCTGCTGCCATCTTCTTTGCAAGCTATATCGTCTCCATTTGGTTTATGAGGATGCTTTGAAGGGCATCCTCGGACGCTCTTCTTTCTAATATGGGCCGTGGCTTTTTACAAAGCCAGTAAAGTCCTCACCAAGGTCCAAGCCTAGGCAGGCCAAGGAGAGAGAAGAGATGTGGTTTCAGACCTTCTCTTGCACTTTCAGAGTTGAGGAAAACTTCAAAAGTGACATGATTGTTTTATATGAGCCGTTAGTGAGGAGAAACACTTCAGCAATAAAATCAAAATGAATTTCGTAGAGAACTTGCAGCTACTCTGGTGTTTTTCCCTCATGCCCCTTGAAGGCAAGGTGGCCCTGCCCGGGAGAAGAGGGTGTGAGCTGTACTGGGCTGTGGAGGCACACAAGACCTGCTGCTTTGGGAGATGGATGAGTGATGTGGGAGGCTCCAAAGCCTCAATTCCATTTCCCCCCAAAATTAATCTGAGTTACTAACGTGGCACTCTGGTAACTCCCACCGGTGTATGGTATGGTACTTTGCTCGGAGTCCTAAAATTTTCCCTAATTGCAGAACCACAATACTGCCATAGGGTTATTAGTTTATGAATCCCCCACAAGTTCAACCCATTTAAAATAGAGCAATGTAGAAAACAGTTGCTAAATTTCAGGTATAAACTGAGCCTTGCTTTCTTCCTCAGGCACAGAACAAAGTGGCCCAAGAGGCCTAGACGGCGCCATTCACAATGTTCACACACAGGCATTAAACTGAACATGCAAGCGTTTTCCTGTCAGACAGAACTTTCCTGGTCACCAGGGAGGCACTGGAGCTGCTGTTTGCACCCTGTGGATACTCCCTAATGTTCTGCCTATGACAAACACCAGACAACAGGTCCCCCTTTCCAGAAGACATGAGATGCAAGCCCAGTGCTATTTCACCAGTACACGAACAATTCTTTTGAAACAAACTCACATCTTGAACTACACTCAAACTCTAGGAAGTTAGTTATCTTTACAGGCACTGTAAGATACTTCCTAAAGCAGGTGCAAGCAGGACTCCCTGCGCATACACCACAGAGGAAACAGAAATAGGGAAAAATAAAATAGCCTGAGCTGAAAGCCACTTGAGCCCAGAGGCATGCTTACGTTAGCACAGTGCAAGGCCAGAGCGCAGAAGACAGCAAACATCTTGAAGTTGTTCTCGTCTGTCTTGGAGAAGGCGCTACCGCTTATCTTGTTCACCATCTGCACCACGCCAATCACGCTGCCTCGGCTCACTATGGGCATACACAGAATGTTCCGCGTGGTGTAGCCCGTGTATAGGTCCACCTCCCTGTGGAAGTGGAAAGGACAGTGCCGTCACCCGGGGGAAAAGGCAGTGAGTGGAAACAACACATCTGACAATTCTGACATTGCTCTGTAGTTTGTGTGCGCTTTTTACGAATGACTAGAGCGGCACTGGGGATTTGAGACAGTGTAAAAATGAAAATGTTTTATTGAAACATTTCAAATATTCAGGCTTGCTTGATCATGTTTATAATAGTTTCCTAGGGCGGTCTCTCCTGGAGGGTCCTGGCCAGGGTAGGAGATCTGGGGGAAAATCAGGAAGTTTGGTAGACAGTCTCTTCCTTTGCACTTGGTCAGATTTACGAGACTGGTAAGTTGCTAAAGCATTTTAAGTGAGAATATTTACATTAAAATCTAGAGCAGGCATCGGCATCCACAGTTATCGCCCGTGCAGTACACGGCTGCCTTCATCTGTGGATGCTCAGAGAACAGAGTGCTGGGCTCCCGACGCAAAACTCCTGGCCATGGTGTCCTTCAGAACGGAGGGGTTTGCTGACCCCCCGACCTGAGGAGATGGTTTCTGAAAACAAGACTGAGTTCCCCAGAATCAGGCACAGACCCAACATGGGGGCTGTGCTTCAGTCCTCTGGGCCTGGCTTCTCTTGCTTACCCATGCTGTTCAGGAACCATCCAGCCCTTGCTGCTGGGCCGTAGTCTCCACTGAAGGTACGTTTCATTTATCCACGCTCCACTTAATGGTCAGCGTCATTTGTTAATAGCTAGCTGTTTCAAGTAAGGCTGTTGGGGGTATTTGCAGCTGTGTCTTTGCTTGGACAAATGATTTCATTTCCCTTGGAGGTTCTATGGAGGAGGGCAGACCGGTGGATCGCTCATGGTCAAAACTGTACCTCTGTTTTCCCAAGAGGCTGCCTCACTGTCTACTCCCACCAGCAAAGCACGAGGGCCCAGTCACTCCATCATCTTTGCCCTTTCTACCCTGATGCCAATCTGAAGATCTCAGCTGCTTGCCTGGTGCACACTAGAAAGTGACCTGTTTAGTCCCCATGTGTTGTTTAGTGGCCATAAGTGCATCCTTTTTGGTGAAGCGCCCTGCATGCTCTGTCCTTTATGGGGTTGCCTTGTACAGCCGCCTAGATATTGAGACAGTGACATCACATGCTTTGCCAGTCAGTGTCTCCCCTTGATCTGTAGGCTGCTCTTTTGATTTTCCCAATAACCTGACTCATAGGTTTTATATAATGATTTTAAATGATGACAATTAATTTCAATATTTAGTCAGTCTGAGGACAAGCAAGCTTGTTTGAGGGGGAAAGTAAGGCTATTAGTATTCTCAACTTGTTGGTAAAATATTAATATAATACAGCTATGTTTCTGTATGAGTCTTACATTATCTGATACCCTACCATTAATTATAGAAAACGCTGCCAGATGATTGTACTGTTTTTAAAGTAAGTTGCATGTATCATCTAAACACTGTTATGCTATGCCTGAAGTATTGCTCTAACAGCCTTACCATCTATCGTGTGACGTCTAACTTCAAAGAACTGAATAAAACTTATTCTTTGATTTCGAGTTCTTCAGAGTCTCACATGAATAAAAACAATTTAATACCACACTCTAGCGATATCCCAGCTCACTCAGCTCCTACTTTGTGTGCAGCAAGGTTTCCAGGGCTTTTAGAAAATTATCTGTAGTCCCAAGGAACAAGTAGGTGTTCTCATACCATTTAAAAGAGGAGTAAACTGGGGCTGGAGAGATGGCTCAGCGGTTAAGAGTACTGACTACTCTTTCAGAGGTCCGGAGTTCAAATCCCAGCAACCACATGGTGGCTCACAACCTCCCATAATGAGATTGGATGCCGTATTCTGGTGTGTCTGAAGACAGTGACAGTGTACTCATAAATAAAATAAATAAATAAATCTTTTTAAAAAGTCCTTTATAAAAAAATAAAAGAGAAGAGAAGAAAACTAAGGAGCAGAGAAATCAAATAACATTCTGTCTATAGTGAAATCAAACACCCAGTTCTGTCTATGGTGAATAAATGACAGGGCCTTAAGTTCAAAACCCGACATGACAATCTAAAACCCAATTCCTTATCCCTGTGTGGCAGTGTAAAGGAATGCGGAGACAGAGTGTGGAATGATTTCATCATGATTTCATCATGACTCCACAGCCCCAGAAGCCCACAGCTGTCAGTTGATGCTTCACACCGGGTAGAGCCCCAGGAGGGAAGGCTGGCCCATGAATAGCCTCAGAACATCATTCTGCAAGTGTCTGAGGACTCTGACCACTGATAACAGACTGGGACAGTGTGAACCAAGACTCCTTCAGAGAGACTTCAGTCCAGTGGAACGTCAAAGAAGAAAGGGCAAGGGCTGAGCTCCTGGCTCACCTGTTAAAGCGAGGGTCCGCGTAGGCGTCGGGAATGTTCAGGACTTCCCCCGTTCTTGCCACTTGACCCGCAATCCCTTTCTCGATGGAAAACCTGCAGAAACAAAAAGGGAGGGTCCTGGTGATTACATGGTCCGTTAGAAAGGAATTCTGGCGTTTCATTAACATCAGATCACTGAACTGAGCCTCTATTTTAAGTGTGCATATTAATTTTACATTTATGTATCCTAAATAATCTTATAAAATACATAGAAGTAAAGCAGAAAATTACCCTGCTGTGATCACTCAGAACGTTATCTTAAGGTATAACTCATAATAACTGTGTGCAACAGAAACTGAAAACTTTACTCTTGATGCCTATCTCTCACTGACTGCCAACAGTCTCCCTATACAGTGAGAGACTCCCCTCATCAGTTACAGTGTGCATCTCTTTCGTGTCTTTCCCACACTGTGCTGGGTTCACTCCCTTGAGCACAGACAGCCCAGGGCCAGCTCTGTAGACCTCTTGTCTGTAACCCGTGCACTACACACAAACAGTATAAAGGTGTTTTCATGTCTCCAATGTGCTCACTCTAAAAACAATCAGATGACAGATACGAACTGGTTGTACTTGGTAATACTTTTTCGGTAAGGCATCACACTGATATTTTTCATGTTAGTGTGTTATATTCGTAGATGTGTTTATTTCAAAATTTAGTTAATTAAGGAACACATCGACAACTCACGCTAAGATTTTTCAGAAACTCAAAAGGGCACTGACCCAAGACAGAATGAAAACATCCCCAAAGGACCAACCCTGCATGAAGGGCAAAGTCACCAACCTCTTGGTTTCCTCATGCTTTAAGGAACACGAATTAGACACCACGAGTCATGCCAGAGTCTATTCATGACACGAACTTGTCTAACTTGCTCTGAGAGCCTATGAATGGGGACTTTTCTTGAGCTCTTGGTGGCTCTTTCTCTACAGTGAGCCCAAGCCAAAGTGTTGAAGGCCAGCTTCAACTAGCCCTCACAGAGACACACAGCCTGGTTCCCTCCACTCTTGTTCTTATGCTTGTAACAATGAGCTGATGTCTCCAGAGTTAGACCAGCACCAGCGGCGTGAGCCCAAAATTAAGCAAGAAATAACAGTTTAACCAGGTGACTATAACCAGTCCGGCAAATCCAGAATATAACCAAACCAATAAGTGAGCAAAATGTAAGACGCCCCACATGCTCCCACAGTGTCCCCATATCAGCGCTGTGTGACTATGTAACCTGGGAATCCTTCAACCTAGAAACAGCTGAAGTGCCAGGGCCAAGTGGTAGCAGCCTGTGGCTGCTCACTTTGTCCCGTGGTATTGGTTCCCTAACACGACAAAGTAGCCAAATGAAAAATCGTTAATTAGTGTTGCGATGTCTCCTGAGAAAGTTTTATAGTGATGATTGGAAGGTTCAAATGGACAGAAAGCAAGAAGAAGCCAACGTTGAAACTTGTGCATGACTCTCAACTCCTCCACCTGTTAGTGCTCCTTGCAGGTTCCAGGTTGTGTCAAGACTGAGGCACCAGGACTTCACCAACAAGTAAGGGCCATTTGTCCATTTAAATGACAGAAGCTGCCACTTATGGAACAAAGAGGGCTTTCCTTTCTAAGTGCAGCAGAAGGGTAGTTGGTTCAGCCTATGGCCAGGCCCTGAATTCAGGTGTTCAAGTCATCAATTTCCTCGCCTCTGGGCCTTTAGTCCTCATAGGTTGGGAAGGAGCAGGGGCTGAGTCAGTTAAATTCACCCTGCTCCTAGACAGACACAGGAGCCTGCTGGCTGCCACTGGGGCGACCTTTACCTACCTGGGAGCACTAGTAAGTTTTTCCAACATGATTTCCAAAAGGACCGCCTCCGGAAGACGGCGTTTCCAGGAGTGACGCTAACGCTTCCTAGGCGCGGTTTCGCTGGCGCTGCAATGTCATTCCCAGAAGCACTACCTTCAGGAGGCGGGTCCTGGTGGGAGTGATACCACAGTATGACAAGTGTTGTCAGCGCACCTGTGAATCGGCACAGAGAGGTGCGGCAGGACACCTGCACGTCTGCATCGGAGCCAGGAAGGTCGCTCTAGCTGTACCTGATCTCCTTGGTCTTCTTGAAGACGGGCTTCCCCTCCTTCTCCTCCCCAATGTCAAACAGGTCCGAGTACAGTTCCTTGTTCTTGTGGTCCACCTGGAAGAGCGCGCAGCGGTCGGCGTTCACTAGATTTTTTGCATATATCTGAGGCAGATGAGAAACTAGAGTCAGCCATGGGAAACTGAAGTTATGGTGAGCACGGACACACTTTTGACTTCAGCTACTTTGTACTGGGGAGGAAATCAGGACTGCAAACAGGGGTATGTAGATTATGAAGCACAATGAAAGTTAGTTGTCAGTCTGTCAACGTGCTGATCCCAGCACGCGCCAAACAAGGACAGTTTATGAGCACCCGTGTCCCTGCTGATCTTGAAATACTAGAGCACTTCCAGTGAGCTGCTGGTCAGCTAGTGGCCTCCCTCACTGAGACTCTTCATGCTCTCGGAGCTCCTGCCAGGGCCCTATTAGGATGCTCCTGGTACCTTGGTCTGTCTCCCTCAGCTGTGGCTAACATCCACCCAGCCTGCTGTGCACAGTGACTGTAAGGAAGATGGGATTTTCCACACCTTTAGTCTCTGCATTCAGAAGCCAGAAGCAGATGGATCTCTGGTTTCTTGCCCAACCAGGGCTTCACAGTGAGCCACTGACTAAACAATAAATACACAAGACACTGGTTGGCCAGCACAAAGAGATGGCTTCCTAAGATCAAGAGCTGAAAAGTTCCTAGCCTCTTCTTGCCTCTCAGCTTTTTCCACCTCAGCTTCAATGGTGGATGAATGACGTGTGGAGATCAGAGTCCCAGGACACTGGCAGGCAGAGCCCTCCGGGTTAAGAAACCACAGAAAGCTTGGTCCTAAGAGCTGGGGGTGTCATTCAGTTGCAAGACCACTGCCAAGCACACCTAGGCTGAGTCCCAAATAGACACTGCCCTTGTGAGGGAGGCCAGGTTGGCTAGCGTGTTTTACTTATTCCAATTATTTACACTAGCAGTCCGCTTTCCACCTGCAGAGCGGCTTCGAAAACAACCGAGGCGTGTAAGTGTGTCGCTACGTTCATCCCAACTAAGAAGAAATACAGATCTAATTGTCTCTGAGTTATTTCCCTCTTAAGGATCCGTGAGTGTAAGTTTGTGTGGACACATGAGGGTGACCACTGAGGCCGGAAGAGAGCTGGAGTCGAGTCACAGATGGTTGTGAGCCGCCAGACGTGCGTGCTGAGAATCATACTCCAAGAACAGCATGTGAACTTAACCTCCAGGCCATCTCGCCAGCCTGAGCCTGACATGCTTATTTTCTAATCTTTACACTTTTATATTTTGGTGGTTGTCATCTAGTATGTCTCCTGGTAGCCTTTTATAAGCACCCTTCCTCTCAACCCATCCTAACACTCCCTACTGCTTCCAGTCTTCATGCCTCCCTGCGTGTGCTTTCCCTCCCGTTCATATTCAGTCCCCCATCTCCTTTCCCCAGTCCTTTCTCTCCCCACTTTGTAACTGTTGTTATTGCCCCACAGTGCCGTCGGCCACATGTCTGCCAGCGGCATCCTGATGCCTGTCCAGCTGGAGCACGCCAGGGACGTAGGTGCAGCACGTGAGCCTCACACTATGCGATGTCACGCAGCGCTCTGTCATGGCAGTCAGTCTCCCCCGAAACAGTAGCGGGGAACAGACACCCAAATGAAGACAGCACATCGAGGAGACTCACATAAGATAAGGCAAACAGGAAACACTGGGAAAGTAAGGCCTAGAGGGATACCCACATCCCAATTGATGGGGGAGATGGGGAAGAAAAAAAACAGCAAAAAGAAACTGAAAAATGATAAATAAGCCCCTGGGGCTCCCCAGTGTACAGACGGAAGTAAACAAGGTAGCCGAAATCTTGGAAGGTATTTTAGGGTTTACTCCCAAAGCCATGGTGATCAGATATAGGGCTCAAATAACCAGCTGATCAAAGGGAGGTGACTCAGAGTGAGACAAGAATCCCACAAAGTGAGTGAAAGGTGAGTGACATGTAGGACAGAGTCATGAAAGAAACACTCAACAAGGAAGCAGGTTCCGGGAAAGAACTCGACATAGAAGTAACAGTTAGCTACCAAACAGAAATGGTGGGGCATGCCGTCAGCTCACAGGACTGAGAGAGGGGAGACGTGAAGGAGAGCAGCAAGGGGTGGGAGCCTGGTGGACAGACGCAGCTAGAAAAACTCAGAGACAACTGAGTGAGTGAGCGCGGTGGAGAACTCGGGGATATCTGGAAGAGGCTAAACCTGAGAGCCCATGCACTGGAAAGAGAGCCGAGACGGGAATCTCAAGATGCGGACGGTGTAGCCGTTGGAGTTACCACAGAGAATTACTCAGGGCACCCACTTCCAGGAGAGAGATGCTGAAACATAACTCAAGTAGACTGAACTTTAGAGTCAGCATTGAGTGGGGCTCCTAACGTATAACAGGAAGTGCCTTGGAGACCAGGAAGTGGAAACTGAGCTTTCCCCGAGTACAGCTGTTTAAAAAGTCTGTCCTGATGCCCTCTTCAGAGGTGGTGAAGGCAGGCCAGGGGGAATCTCAGAGCACCAGAGTTCATACACATTAACAGAGTATACTCTCCCAATGCACGCACACGTCACACCATGAATGAAGACCAAGGAATTAGGGTTTAAAGAAAATCACGGTCAAAAACCAAAAAGACCTACCATGATGTGTTCAAGTAGAGAGTCTATGGCGACTATGTTATCAAAATATGTCCTGGAAAAGAAAATACAAAAGATGAATGTCATGAGTAACCGTACCGCTATCACAGTGCATGGTAAACTCTGAACACGTTATATGGGCTCCAATTTTAAATAAAATTAATATACATGTAATTTGATTTTCCTGCCTTCTCTCAGAAGCAATAAACATTATTGTTTTTAAAAAATCAATGAACCACTATTATTGCCTTAGTACAGACTAAGTCCAGTGGAGTCATCCAGTAATTGTGTTATTGCTCAGTTGAGAGGTGGGGGAAAGGCTTGTAATGATAGTTAAGTAGGACTTCAACCAAACTTAATGTTCTCATGAACCATCTCAAGGGAAACAAACTTTAAATTTATTAAGTCCATCAGTATGGTTAGAATACACATGATCGCCGGGGCGAGGGGGACTGGAGAAGGTAGAAGCTAAACTGTACCAAGATATCGGTAGAACAGACCAGTGATAAAACGCAAGTGGTCAGGACCAGTGACCTGTATTGCTTTATTTAATTAAAGTAAAACACACGCTCGGTAGCAGGAGTGTGCCGTGGAGGCGGTGAGACAGCTCCTAAGACAATTCCCTAACAGTTGGCCATCACAGGACACATCAGAGAGCACCCGGTATGGGTTCTGCTGGCTCTGTAAGGGTTCAGCCCTGCTCTGAAATTAGCCTGGCGTACAGTCTCGATACAATCTCCTTGGTTTGAGGGCAATGAGGCTCAGTGCTTCCCTGCACTGAGCTCAGTCCTGCATAGGAGAAGGCAGCATTGGAGTGACTGAGCTTCCTACTGGAGCAGAAGGCAGGAGGTCAGAGAGTGTCACACAGGCATTTAGGTGGCTTTGGGACACTTCTAAAGTATGCGAATGTGTCCCCCAGAGGGAAGACCAGCTTCACTTTCTCTGGGTTCTTGTAGCTTCAGCATGGTTCCCATCATATTGACAGGGTTTAATTGTTTGAAAGTAGAGTTGACTGGGTGATCTTTAAAACTGCTTTGGCCACAGGTCTCTAATTTCTGTTCCAAAGAACAGCTGCAAAATGAGCCAGCAACTCCAGTCTGAGTGTTGTGTAGGGCTCTGGCGTGTACTGGTGAGGAGTTACCAAGTACCACAGCAGGGACAAGAGCAGCCAGGGCTGGCAACAGGGCTGCTGGAGGCCAGGGAGGAGAGGCTGTGTCCCATGTCATCCCCTTCCCTGTCCCTCATCCTTGTCATCTTTCCCCAACCCCCTATTCCCAGCTTTAGGGAACTGGTAGGAGGGCGTGGCCTGGGTGACCATGTCTGAGGCTTTAAGGTTTCAGTTACTAGTGAGGTGGGTTGTACAAACAGTTGGTCCTCCGTTGTAGCAACACAGCCCAGAGTTTATTAAATATCTGTAATGGCTTCTACTACCAGACCAGGGGAGGTGATCTAGACTAAGCTTCTGGGAAATAGACTGTTTTCTCAAAATCACCTCTGAGACGTTATACACAGAAAGCCATTATTAACACTGTGTAAAGAGACATTGTTGGAAAAAGACAGAGTGCACATCCTGGGAAAAGGTGGAGAGAGCAGAGGCAGCATAAGCTAAAAGGGTCTATTTACAACATGAATGTCACATTAAGACAAATCAGAGATGCATCTCCCATCTTAGCATACAAGCTGACCGTGGATAAAGATGCAATTCTATAATCCACATGTGGCTAACGACTCTTCCCCAGGACGCTTGCCCATGCAGCAGATGGAGATGTGTTACCATTGAGACCTGCATGTTACGCCCCTTATCACCAAACGGGGGGGGGGGCAGTGGGGGGGGAAGCCCAGGCAAACACTTACTTTGATACATCGAGCAGGAAGTCATTCAGTTCCGTCTGTTTGGCGAGACCTCTGCACACCTGCCACGTATACAATGGTTGTTAGTCATTCAAGAGCTCTGCTGACTGGGAACCAAACTGTTAACACGGGCAATGTCGGCCTCGCTGCCGGAAAAGCGCAACAGGCTAAACAGTGCTTGAGAGACCCTTGTGTTTATTATCTCACTGGAGCACGGCACAGCTCTGTGATCTGGGACAGATACATCGTCCTCCCTGACTAAGTTACACGTCTACTTTTAAACCTTGTCACCCAGCATGTACATCATGGGCCAAGGAGAATCTTCTACTCATGGCCCTACCCTGAGACTGCGCTTTTCTTCTCTTGAAAAAATACGCCTATGTACTTCCGACAAGATTTAAGATGGTTTAACAAGTGAATGTAGGGGATCAAGTAGATGAAATGGTTCAGATACAGTACAGCATCCAAGACCAAAGCTTGAGGTCGCTTGCTAGCTTCACGTCCAGCCTCCACTACCGCTGCCTTGGGAGGCCCTCGTAAGGACGCCCCAAACTCACCTGTACCTGGTGTATTGCCACGGAAGCCCAAGCGAGATTGGCTGTTGCAACCTACAAAACATACACATGCGCATATCAAACAACCTTGATCTTGGGTCAGCAGGTGTGCCTACAGCAAGTCATCTCCCCAGTGTGCATCATCTTGTTTTAATATTAAACAATTACTTTTCAGTTTAGCGAGGAACTCAATGGAAACCGTCTCTAACTGCCTCTTGAGGCTGGTGTGGGAGTGATCCCCTAAGAGGGAAAAATATTGTGTACACACCCCACACATTCAAGGACTCAAGCTTAAATTCCAATTGTGTTTTTACTTTTATTTCCATGTGTGTCTGTGTGTGCACACATATGCACAGGTGTGAAGGGCAGAGAAGGATCTCAGAAATGTCCACCTCCTTGGAGGCAGGATCCCGCCAGCCAGGAGTGCAGACACTAGGGTAGACTTAACGGACAGTCAGCTCTTGTACTGCCCACTGAGCCATCCTCCCCAGCCCATACTCCCCTCCTGACACTGGTTTCCACTTTGTACATCTTTGCTGGGCACAAAGTGTTAGTTCCAGATGCAGTTCCAGAGGAGGGAACAAGAGCAAGTTTGGACAGAAAGAAAGTGTCCTGTGCAACTGAAAGGACAGTGACAGGTGCCATGGGAGCACACAGCAGGACAGAAGGAAGGACCTGACAGGTTCTATGGCAGAAACCACTCAGGGTAGTAGGTGTGAGGTGACAGGGCCTGCTCTCCACATCACAGGGAGGCCAAACTTCGCCCCAGGGGGCTGGGTGTGGAAGAAGTGAGGGGCAGCCCAGGAAACTAGAAGTACATCATTCTGGAAGGGGGTGGAGCCAGACTCCCAGGGACCTTATCCATCCAGCACAGGAGAGGTACCAAGTGCTGGTAGTGTGTGACTTCAGTGTCAATGAGTCAGCTCCAAGACAGCCCATAAAGAGAGCAGAGCCTGGAATGTTCATGTAACTTAGGAAGGAAACACATTTAAGGAAGACAGGAGGCAACCAGGATGCCACCCTGTTGCTCGGCTGGATATGCACCAAAGCACATTTCTTGCTGATGTTGCTGTTGTTAAGATATTTTTATACAGGAAAAAGAAAAGCCAAATAAGTGTATTTCTGATTTAGCCAGTCTTCTCTAAAAACAACTGCTAGAGAGAACAGGTTTTTAAGAATCCTGCTGTTCACAGCCAGACACAGTCAGGCAAATAGTGACTTCGCCATCCATTCATGTAGTCATTTAACACGGGTGGGGGCCACCAACAAAGGGAAGAGGACAGAAGGTGCAGAGAGCAGGGTCAGAGCCTCACCTCCTGATGGCTGAGGCAGAAGGCCTCTTTGCCCCAGTGCCTGTACAGTTCAAGGATGCCGATCAAGTCTCCAATGGCAGTGACGATGGGCAAGCAGAGGACAGACTGGATTCGGGTTCCTGACTCCAGGCCAGTGCCTCTGGGAAACCGCTCATCCTGGAGATCAAACAAGGAAAGCCTCTTAGTTTTTGCATGCACAGATTTTTTGAGGGGGAAAGTGGATGTTAGTGTCACGTGACCGTAAGAACAGTTATCAGCAAGTCTGGCCCTCACCCTGCCCTTCTTCGCTGGAACCATCCCAGGCTTCCCAAGTGAAGGCAGCAGAGAGAACACAGGCAAACACCACAAGGAGACAGGCGTACGCAAACACACCTTCTCTTCTGTTTTTAAAGTCGTGCTAACTGTTTCCTGAGTTGAACCTCAAGGGCCCATGTCGTGCCATCAAGGCGTATCAGTTACCCATCGCCACAGTGGAGGTGGGTTCAACTTGAATAATTTTCTCTCTCAGCTAAAATCCCAGCAAGCCAGTTCAGAGAAACGGAAAGGATTAATATCAAGACAGCAGTTCGGTGAGCTCAGTTTCTACCATCTACAGGAAGCTAACGGGACACGTCAGACCCTCCCTGAATGAAGGGCAATATGAAAATGCCCCTGTGGCTTTCAGCTTTTGAAAGCCTGTGTTCAGAACTGAACATTTACAAAGGAGAATCCACACAGTATCTACTCTTGCTTCCTTCTCTTTCCTCACTGTAGACTCTTTCTTTCCTTCCTTCCTCCTTCCTTCCTTCCTTCTTTTCTTTTCTCCTTTCTTTTTTTCTTTCTTTCTTCCTTCCTTCCTTTTCTTTCTCCTTTTTCCTTTCCTTTTTCCTTTCCTTTCCTTTTTCCTTTCCTTTCCTTT